GGGCCGGGCGGGAGCCGCGCCGCCCGAGGCGGGGCAGGGCGCCTTGTGCGCGCCGGGGTCCCCGCGGAAGGCGTCCCGCACGCGGCGCTCCTCCACCACGTCCAGCACCAGCCGCCGCACCGCGTGCACGAAGCCGTGCTCCTCCGCCTGGCACACGTAGGTGCCCGCGTCCGACCTGCGCACCCGGAGGATCAGCAGCCCCAGGTCGACCTGCAGCACGCGCTCGTCCGTCTGCACCTGCAAGGGAGGGAGGCCGGGCTGGGGTGAGGGGTCCCGGGCTGGGGGAAGGGGCCGGGGTGGAACGCGGGGCCGGGTGGGGAGGCCTGGAGCCCTGCCGCGCTCCCCCCCCCGCCCCGCCAACCCCGACCACATGCACCCCGCACAACTGCGAAGCCGACCCAGCGTGCAAGTGTGCACCTGCGCGTCCGTGCGTGCGTGCGTGCGTGCGTGCTCCTGCGCGGGTGTGGCCCGAGCCTGGCCCACTGGAGACCTCCTCCTTCGGGCAATGCCCTGGAGGTCATTTTATGTCAGTCATACACAGAGAAAAGGGAGAGAACTATAGCACTCATGAATCCAGTGGACCTTTAAAAAATAACGCGTCAGTGAGGAGAAGGTGAAACGAGCGTGTGCTGCGTTTCTCTCTGTTACATCTGCTCGTCGGTGGGCGGAGCGGGGTCTCCCACGCTTGTCCCTGGCCCCTCCTACGTCCCAGGTCGTAATGACCAGGACTTCCGTGAGCATTTCTGCTTAATGTGCCCGGGTTACTGTGCGCCCTCGCGAACACGCCGTTCGTTTATTAATGCAGGAGCACTGAGGACATTTCTAGAATGCTGTGCGTTGACAAAGATAAACGTAAACAAGTGAAGTCCAGAGTCTGCAGTAAAGGGCCCCGGAGCTCAGTAAGCATGAAATTTAAGGTACACTAAAGGCAGCTTGGGGTTTATCCAGGCCCTGCTCAAAATAAAAAATAAAAAAAGTTGGGGATGTAACTCAGTGGAAAGGCCCTGGGTCCATCCCCACCACTGAAGAAAACAGATACCCTCAGTGCTCTAACATCTTTTGTTATAATTATGTCAAAATTTACTGTATGATAAATATTTAAAACTTAGGGATAAGAAAAGCACAGACATAAGTAGCTCCTATTTAGCCACCAACAGCTGTATTCCTGTGTCAGAACTTAATATAAAGCAGCACAACTTTCACATACTGACGCCATCTGCTAACTCTGCGATCGAGGGTATTGATATAGTCCACGCCTTAGCTTTCTTTATAAATAAAGCCAGTCAATCCCTGGTTCCGCAAAAAATAAAAATTAAATAAATAAATAAATAAATAAATAATAAAGCCAGTCAGATAACTTGAAAGGCTGCTGTTGAAGCTGAGCAAAATACCGCAGCCATGGTACTTCTACTTTCCTATATACGGTCTCCTGCGGAAGACAAACAGCAGGCACCATCACACACTGGGACCTGACACCAGTGACAGACGGAGTGCTCGTTCCCTGGGAGGTCACCGAAGTGCAATGACACCTGCCAAGGGAGCCATGGAGGCGAGGCCCACGCTCTCTTGCTTACTTAGCTCAAGCTCAAGCTGGTCCTCGGGAAGGAGGCCCTTCAGGACAGCTGTGTCTGCCCTTCCCACTGTGACCACAAGAGGGAGGGGATGGTGCAGTATGGCTACTCAGGGCAGAACGTGGCAGCGCGGCACTGGTGATGCAGTGAGTGGTGACTCCGAAGTCAGTGCTTAATTTTAAGTCTTGAGGCTGCCACAGGCATTTCCAGCATGCAAGTTTGCGCCTGCACGTGTGCGTATGCGTGCATGTGTGAAAGATGAAGGATGAAGGGTGTTACTCAGCAGCTGCGGAAGGACATGAGGAGGAGCCAGAAATGGCGGCTCAGGACCTCAACAGGGGCTCCTCGGGCCTTGGTGGGTTTCACCACAGGCAGCGTGCCAGTTAGTGGCCACTAACCCAGGCTTCTCTGGTGAGGAGTTGGGGGAGACCCCAGAGCAGCCCTGCTTGTGGCCCAGATGCCATCTGTCCTGGGGGCAGGGTTTGCACCGTCCAGCCAATCACCTCCAAGGGACCCGGTGTTGCACCTCCAGGGCAGCCCTGCAGCCTTGCCTCTGCTCCTTCTCCATCTAGTCACTCACTCTGGTGCCCGTGGGCACACACGCCACACCCACCCTCCAAGGCAGATCTGCAGCTCAGCCTCCCCTCTTAAATTGAGGCAGCCTTTGAAACACACACATCTCACTCCATAGCATGTGTGTGTGCGCGTCTGTACATGTGCGCATGCGCGCTGATGGCCCCTGTCCTGCTCGTCTTCATTCAGTTTCTTCTGCACGTTTCCATTTGCCACAGAGCCCCCCCTTTTCTTTCCATCTGGTAACATTTGTTTACTTGTTTCAAGCAACATCTCTAAGATGTGTCTTATATGTAAGCAATCTTTTCTATTAATTTATATTAATAAAATGAATTTACACACCAAGACATATTTTCATTAAGAAAACCCCTCTTACTCCAGTGGCTTGCCACACCCCTTTCCTAACTCCAGCGCTGTCCATTGCATCTCAGCCACCCAACTTGCATTGGGCCTGCACATCCCAGATGCCACAAACTTTTGCCAACATTTCCTCAGAGGGGACCCAGAAGCGGCCCCCGCCTCCTTATTCACCAGTCTCAGACTCTCATCCCCAGGGCAGGCTCTGGCTCCGGGGTGAGCTCCCCAGCCCTTCATCCTCCCTTGGGCGCAGGTCCCCTCATTGTGCTTCAGGCCTCTTCTCTTGCCTCCAGCTCCAGGAACTTCCCTAAGGAGGGCTGCTTCTCAGAGCCAAGTGTCATCTGGTCACAGACTCTCTCAAATTCCAGGGGGAGGAAAAGTCCCTCAACCACCACGGGTGTCAGCCATTACCACCGTACCTGCAGCATCTCCTGGGGGTGCCTGTCAATAGCCCACCATTACCTTTCTATGGCATCTTTCCCTTTCACATCAGCAAACATTGGCTCAGCTTCTCTCTTTAAAGGTCATTTTGTGTGTCTGCCCTTGAACAGGGAACTTACTGATGTCTCATCGCTTACCCAAGCAGAAGAAAGTTGCTGAGCTTAACAAATCCCACAGCTCTAACTCTAGACCACAAAGAGCTTAATGTAAGTTCTCCAGCCAGGACTGTGGAACGAGTGTGTTTCTGGAGATGAATAAATTTTCTGTAAGAAGCTCTCAAATTAGAGTGCTCACTGCCACAGTATTCAATACAAATTAATAAACTGTATTTGGGATGATATGGAAGATCAACCTCAAGCTTAATATTTGCGTTCATCATAGTTTCTGAACCATTTTCAGAAGCTTAATGTATCCCAGATGCTAAGAAGAACAAGGACGGGTCCAATGTGTTACTGTTCCATTCCAGCCAAGTGGAAACCACACAAGCCTATCTGGCAATAAACACAAAAAGTGCAACATCACTTGATGAAAGAAGCAGTGAGCTGTCACTCAGGACACAGTGCTGTGGAGGGACATTTTACACACACAGAAGTTTGTACTCCATATTATATTCATGAACTACCGCAGTGAAAAAATTGTCAATGGCAAATGATCATTTTAACGATATATAGTTGTTTTATGCTGTATTTTTAAGCTTGCTTTACATGAACTTACTGCCTAAGCATGAGAATGTGTGTGCTGCGTCATGGAGCTTTTCATGTGTGCCGCATCAGTGTGCCCGGAAGACCCCCGAAGTTAAGTGTAGGTACTAGGTGCCCAGCATATCCCTAGACTCAAAGCTGCCCTTTCGAGACTCCTGCAGCCCTCCCGTGAAGCTACGATACCCCTCCTCCGGATCCCGTTCTGGCCCTTTCTTTTCCTTAGAGAATGTTTTTCTATTCTCTATACAAACACTGTTTTGTTTTTTGTTTTGTTTTGTTTTGTTTTGTTTTTAGGAAAAAGAAATCCTTCTAGGCTTAAACTCTCACTTTCTTCATAACCACCTCCCTTGCAGCTCATAAAGATCTTGTGCTTCCTTTTGTAACTTAGTAACTTGTTTATAGCCCCAAAACAATTATTTATATTTAAATTATTTTTCCTTGAAATTTTCAGCCCTTTAACCATGTAATAAGCTCCTGACAGGCAAAATCCATACCCCTTGATTCCTCTGTTATTCTGCAATGAGTAAAATTACACAGAGCACAGAGAAGAATAAATAGGCACATCCACATGCTCAGGGCCGCAGGCGTGCAGTGCAGGGGGTGTAACTGTCAATGTGCATCTGAACACTACACGCATTGTTCAGGTGGCCTAATCATGATTTAACGCAGAAGGAAGCCAGCCCGACTCCAGGAGCAGGCCGTACTGGTAGGTAGAGCTGCTCCCCAGAGCAGGGGATAGGGAGTGTAGACACTGCTTCCATTTGAAATCGCAGTGTGCACCCCTCCTCCATGACCATGGCCCTTCACTATCTCTCTGGCTCATGACAGTGAATTAAGCTAGAAAAACAGGGAAGTCCTCTGGCCTGGCTTTGGGCACAGGGCAGCAATGTGTGCAGAAACAAAACAAGGACAAACTGAACGCAAATTGTCACCCACTGGAATTAAGGGTGCGTGGAATTTTTAAAGTCTGGTATAAAAATTGGCCTTTCATCACCCAAACTCAGTTTTGAGAAACACTATGTATATAAGGGTGAATGCACACGGGCCACAACACAGATGCAGAGCCATCCTGGCGACTGTCCCCAGGTACTCTTTGCATGCAGGAGACGCTGCCTGTCTCAGAACTGTGGTCTCCCTTCCTGGTACGGTGAATTGACATTATAAAGCCAGGAATGAGAGTTACTTTAACCATTAATCTGGAAGGTCATCTATGAGGGGGTTTTAAACATCTTGAAAATTAACTGTCTCCAGGGTCTATGAATATCTAAAAATAAAAAATGACTTAGAAATTTGTATTTGAAGTCCTTCCACAATTTAGTCTTTCCACTTTCGCTAACATGGGCACGTCCAACACCAAGTCCTGGTTACAGAGTCGTTTTCAGCCAGCTGTGCTTTCACTCTCTCTGCAGCCCGGATTTCTTTGGTCAAGAAGATGGTACAAAATATATCATGTCTACCAGACTCTGATGGGTAATCACTATGAATGCATAATTTCTTACTAGAAATGGTTTTGATATTCTTAGCTCCAGAAAGATTGATTCAACGTGTTCCATAATGTCAAATAAAAAAAGTAATTGAACGAAGAACTCTGCAC